GCTGACAAGGAGAAAGCCATGAACGGCGGCGCCACCCCATTGTTCATCGCAGCTGAGAAGGGGCACTTGGAGGTTGCACGCCTATTGTTGGAAGCAAAGGCTGACAAGGAGAAAGCCATGAAGGATGGCGCCACTCCGTTGTTCATCGCAGCTCATCGGGGGCACTTGGAGGTCGCACGCCTTTTGTTGGATGCAAAGGCTGACAAGGAGACAGCCATGAACGGCGGCGCCACCCCATTGTCCATCGCAGCTGAAACGGGGCACATGGAGGTCGCACGCCTTTTGTTGGACGCAAAGGCTGACAAGGAAAACGCCATGAACGGCGGCGCCACGCCATTGTCCATCGCAGCTGAGAAGGGGACTTGAAGGTTGCACGCAAAAAGAGATGCAAAGGCAAACATGGACAAGGCCGAGAACGATGGCGCCACCCCATTGTCCATCGCAGCTCCGTTACAGCGTGCACTGACAGTTGCACGGCGGTCTGCAAGGGCAGTTCGATGCTCAAGAAGGTTAGGAGCATCTGGCAGGAGGCCGACAAAGGCCAATACCTGAGGACCTCTCGCGACGCATCCCATGTTGAGTAGCGTACCTGCACGTATGGTGATTGCACATGTGCGAGGTGCCAAAATCTTAAGTTGTACCCGGCCATACCTGAATCTGAAACGGCCCTCCCATGTGGCTGAAGTTTCTACAATTGAGCGTGTAAGATCCGTACCAAGAGTACTTCTGAAAAAAGACTTTCTGAAATGGGTCTCCGAGTTCAAGGCCTGGTGTGGACTTTCAAGCTGTGGCAGGGTGGGTTCTAAAACTTTTGGGGCCCGTCTTAGGGTCCTTAGAATTAACGATCGACACACTTCGTCGCCTGCGGAGGAGAGGGGGTTCTTTGCTCGTAGCAGCGACAGATGGCAGCAGAGGGCTGAGAGGCGAGGGAGTGTGGGTGAGCTCTGAGCTTAGCCTTCTAGTGCCTTCTTCACTCCTTACATACCTATATCTATCTATATATATATATATAGGTAAAGATATAGACATAGATAGATGTAGAGATAACTATTTCTAGATATGGACATAGATACCTCCAGGCAGGGCCAGTTCCCACGGGACCGCTCTCCCGTCCCGAGCAACCGAGACGGCCGGAAGAAGCCCAGGTCACCGAGGCACAAGCATCCACAGCATCAAAAATCACCAACCTCAATGCCTGCATATATATGTATATACAAATGTGTATGTATGTATGTATGTATGTATGTGTATATATATATATATCAGTATGCAGGTGTGTATATATATATAGGTGTGTGTATATATATATAGAGAGAGAGGCATATATCGGCATAGATACAGATATGAAGTTATGTTACGCATGACTAAGGCTGACGTTTCTGCATGTCGGCCTTTTACAGCCTCAAGCTTTTGACTTAGATATAGACAACTTCAGTCTTCAAAAGATCGTGTGCCACAAGCCCGGGCGACCCAGCAAGGAAGTCCAGGGTCTAAAGTTTCTTGGGCATTGATTTTTGTGTAGGTCGCCGGCTTCGATGGCCATCAAATGGTGCCAGGACCTCGGCTCTTTTGGTGCAAGACTTTTGAATCAGAAGGTGAGCATAGCGTTACCGTTGTTTCTCTCTCTCTCTCTCTCTCGTTCTTGCTTTTTCTCTTTCTCTCTCTCTCTCTCTCTCTATCTCTCTCTCTCTCTCTCTCGCGCTCACTCGCCCTTTCCGTCTGCCGCGCTGCGTGCGCTTCTCTAGCCGCCGTTTGTGCGGGCCAACTGTTTGCAGCCCTGTGGTCCGATGCGGGAGTCGGATAAGCCCTGAGATTTCCAACACCCTAAGCCCTAAAGTAGCTCCCATGTGCTGAGGCGGTCTGCTTTCGGTTTGCCGGCTGCCGGCTTCCTCGAGTTTGTGAGTTGGGGCGACCCAGAAGGCTTGCAAGTTGCATAGCATCGGTGCCTTAGTGACTTGAGCAGGGCTTTGGGATATATTACTACAGTAAGACTTTAGATGGGGAATGTAAGGGGGTGGTGCATCCGTACTACCAGTTGATCTCTGTTTGGGGGGTCCGCCTTGACGGTTTACACCGATAGAGTTCAGCTCGTAACCGTGTGTGCAGGGGTAAATCTACGGGAACCTGTAGGCCGCCAACCCAGAGAGCCCAATACTCCTTAATTAAGGAATATACCTTAAGTCATAATATTAAGGCCCCTATAATTTAAGGTATGTTCCGTATTTAAGGGGTATTGGGCTCTCTGGGAATGTTGTACTTCAGCAAGAATTTGTCCCCAAGCTCGCTTCCATTGGCATGTCTCTGCCACTTTCCTTCAAGATAGAGCAACATAGGGGTCGGATGACTTAGTGATTCTGTTCCTTCCTGGTCCGGACACCTTGCTATAATGAGGCTATATATTAAGGCCCTCTCACTGAAATCCTAGAGTTCAGGGCTGAGCGTCAATTGCAGCAGTGAAGAGGCCATCGGCGGAAGCTTATGTAACTTATGCCTAATAATTACCAAGACTATTTTGGGGGTTCTTCCTTTGTAATTATAGCATAGCGGGCTCCAAAACCCTATTCTAATTAATATTACTATTATTATTACTATTATTATTATTACTATTATTATTATTAAGAAGAAGAAGGCCCCTAGAGTAGATTGACCTCTCGGGTCGCTCCCGAATCTGCGGTGCCTGCCATGTTACGCAGGGCTTGGGGCTGGGACGACAAAGGATCCAGAATGCAGATGAGCGCGACGAATTGAAGCCCAACAGGCAGGGTTGTAGTTTTGAAGGCTCTGGGTTTAGGGCTTCAGGCTTAGGGTTTATTATTACCATTATTATTATTAGTATTATTGTTATTATTATTACTATTACTATTATTAGTACTATTATTATCATTTTTTGGGCTTGGTGATTTCGTCCCGAATACAAACCCTGGCTGATGCTCAGAAGCTCAGGCCTCAGTGCCATGTGCCTGGAGGCCTCGACTGCAGAGCAGGTCTTCTTGTACCGGGGTATAGATGCAGTATAGGTGGTTAGTACTAGGTTACTACAGTATGCGGAGCAGTGTATGTAGCTTGACACTGAGACAAATGAGGGTGTGGGGTTCTGCATGTGTTGGAATGTAAGGCACATGCCATTTTCCGACGTGTATGCTGTCGTCTTGTTGGTATGGAAGTTCATGTTTTCATCGCCAATGCTTCCTTTTTTGCGTCACCACATGTCCGGCACGAAGTACTTTGAAGCTGTGTTCGAGACACTGGCTTCGCGAGATCGAGAAAACACAGTAGCTAATTTGAGATGCTTCATAGCATTTTAGTGTAAGTGCAGAACAGGCAATAAACATAGCAGTATAGCAGATGGCAACCTATGAAAGGTCCCATGAAAGCCCTTACTGCTGATGTTACTATTTTAGAAACTACGAAGTGCTCGCAGCGTGGGCAGGTTGGGAGAGATGATATCCGTGGGATGTATGCAAGCGAGGTGATTCTGGCATGGGCCTCAAGCAGATTCCCCGCATGTTAGGATGCCCCTGAATCCTGAACCCTTAACCATTAACCGAAACCTAAACCCGGAGCCCTGAACTGCACGTGCCGTGCGCTTCACACGCATGCTGCGTCACTCCATGCTGCGGTCGTGACGTGCGAGAGACGCCCGTTAGGATTCGCTGTCCGGACCAAGCAGCTTCCCCGGTACGCATGTAGCACAGTAACAGTATACCCAAGAGCCGTAATTATTTCAATCATTAAGGCCCTTGATCATGCACCCTAGACAATATACCCCAAACCCAAAGCCCTGTTCGAAATAGTAATGCCCCTGATCATGCGAGCAAATTTCCTGAGATTTGGATGGTCCAACTCTTCCTCGGCCGGCGCACGGACGAGGCATCCTCGCAGAGTTTACCATTTCGTCTCGGTTTGGGGCTGGGAGGTGTGCATGAACCCCAGTTTAACATTAGGGTCCTCAGATCTTGAGCCTTGCAACGGTGTGCGGTTAAGTTAGGCCGTCGGCAAGCGGATGTTCGAGGAGTTCGACAGAGGTTGCCATCATTCCATGTCGGAAGCATTTTCTTGGTGCACCTGCCTCTATTTGGACGAAGGCCGCTGTGAGCCCTGTAGACTATAGAAGCCAGAAGCCCAGCACACAACACGGCGAGAGATGCGAGAATACATGCGAGCTCGGATTTTTGGAAGCAGAAATCAAAAGCTAGTCAATCATCCAGTCAATGTTTCAAACAATTCATCCATGTATCCATGCATCCATCCATCTCATCGATCCATCCATCGTCGTTTAATCAGTTACTCAATCACTAAATCAAACCAGCAAGCAGGCAAGAAAGCAGGGAAGCAAGCGTCAAATAGCTAACCGACCAAACAATCAATCAGTCAGCAAAGCAAAGAAAAACAGCGCGGCGCAATGCAACGCGACCCAACGCCAGCAAGCCAACCAGCCAACCCACCGACCGACCGACCAGCCAACAATCCAATCAACCAACCCATCAAGCAAGCAGGCAAGCGGGAATCAAACAGCAACCATACGATCACTCAACCGATCATTCCATCAGACTACTAGTCAGTGAACCATACAAGTAACTAAATCCATCCAGTCAACCCATCAATCGAACCGTCAAGCAGTCGTTCAATCAATCAATGCATCTGTCAGTCAATCAACCAAACCATCAATCAATCAACAGATCTATCAGTCAAGTAACCAATCTAGCATGTAAACCTAGCAGCTCAAACCCTTTAAGCCAAACAGTTAAGCATTCGGTCAACCAGTCAATCAATCACTCAAGCAGTGTTCCAATCCTCGATCAGTTCTTGAAGCGAATCTAGCCGCGCAACCCATCAGCCGAACAGTTAGCAATCGGAAAATCAAGCCGTCAATCAGCCGGTCAACTAACATCAATCACTCAAACCACCCACCAACCAACCGAGCGATTAGTCTGATTAGTCAATCACACAGTCCTATCATGTATTGCACGCACAAGTGTGCGTGCATGCAGACAACTGTCGCAGATGGTTGTTCGTTTCTTCGGGCTAAACCCGTCTGCAGATGCGTGCATGTATGCTCTTGGATATTTGCATGCGTATGCGTGTCTTGAGTAGATGCATGAACTCTTGCCGTCGCTATGTTTCCCTAGACCCTTACTGAAAAGATCGATCGACTTAGCAAGTAGGCAGAGTTATGGGTTCCCTACTTCAGGTTACCCTACCTATAACTCTACTTATGGCCTACATTGCAAATCTCTTGATGGGGCCTGAACATAGATTGGAGTTTAATATACCCCAGAAGCCTACACTTATTCTTCAGGCCCCGATATATACATATATATATATATATATTTATTTATTTATTTATATTTTTTACACACATGAAC